TTACTTCAGACAGAAAACACCTACTGCTGAAATCGAAAGGATTATTCAAATTCTCAGGGAATCTACCTACTAATACAATCGATATTTCTTGTACTTCACCTTTCATGATAAATTRACRTCACAACCGTATATCGCTTATGACTCAATTTTAATTAGTAATACTAATTTCAAATAATTTTTGATTTTTATATTTCAAACCTCCTTTTTGCACTTTTTCATTAAAACATCCTTCTGATCGATATAGTATTTATTTGTACAAATTTAAGTTTATTATCTTACTTTAACCCAAGAGCCTACCTAGCCAGACTAGTAATCCTTACTATTTGCAGGCCGGTGGTATATAATTATTTTTGACTAGTCCTTTTAGTATATTGAAATAAGCCTTGAAATGTTGATTTATATACTTACTGCATTTATTGCAACTCCTACGGCAGTGTGTGTCCATGAAATCCTCATTCTTCAAGCATTCGCCTGCTGCCGCCCATTTTGCACATTCCTTTTTGAATTTTTCGGTGTCATCACAGAGTAACTCGCCTTAAAACAACAGAAACAATCAAAAATTAATATCCAGGAATTAATCATGATAAAGGCAAACAATCTTATATATCTTGATAGTCGTAAAAACGTTAAAAAAAGGGATGATAGTAGTGTTATTGAGGATGCAGTAATGGCGAATTAAGCTTGACAATGTCTTATTTTGGGAGCATAAATACTTTTATAAGATCGTTTAGAATGTGAACTTACAAAGTTTACAGCTTTTTGCGCAGTTTTTATGCATGTATATCTTGTTTTTATAGCATTCTCCTTTCTTAGCCCATAGCGGACATTGGACCTTGTCGGAGTCTTCACATTTTGCTGTTTAAGAGACGAAAAAAATATTGCAATATATAAATTATCTTCCTTTGCTTACACGATCTCTTCGAGCAACTTCCGGCATTCAGCAAAAATGGGAGGCAAGCAAACTAAATTAAAGTTAAGAACAGGTATAGTCAAAGACGTCAATGGCTGACCTTCGCATATTTTGCAGCTTTTTGCACAATTTTTGTTCATATATTCCTTGGATTTGCTGCATTCTCCTTTTTTGGCCCATAATGGACATTGAACCTTCTTTAAGTCCTCGCACTTCTTCACTTCAACAGGGGTTTCGCCAGGTAAGTTTCCTAAAAACAACAACAATTGAATAAAACACCAATATACAAGCTCTACGGATGAGTGTGAGTCCTGGTGCCTATAAAGAGTGTTTTGAAAAGTTAAAATTCCATAACAATAAATATGCTGTGTAGTTACCACAAACATGGCAGCTTCTTTTGCAATTCTTTGTCATAAAGACTTTACTTCYTTGACAACCTYCGTTTGCTGACCACTTGCGGCAAGAGACGTACTTGTCCTGACAATCTAAAAGGATATTAAGCAGCTAATCAATAATCTTTTTAATCTAAAAAATATATAACGTCACGTTGGTCACTATCCTCTGATATAAAAACGGTGGGAGTTGAAAAACACGAGAGAAGCAAGAGAAACAAATAGATAGATAGAGCGTAGCGAGTGTTTCTCTTGCTTTTCGAGTGCTTTTSAACTCCCACCGTGTTAATATCAGAGGACAGAGGCACAAGCAGCCGTTTTGTTGTTCTTTTAGAAATTTTTTCTGCGTTTTTCGAGCGAAAAACAAATTTTGCCGGTAAGCCGTGTCTCTGTCCTCTGATATAAACACAATCGTAAGCCAATCAGAGCGCGCGTTATATATCAAAATTTATAATATTAATAAATAAATCCATTTTATATTATTAAATTTAAAATGGATTTATTCAACTTGTACATTTTCTAATAAAATTCTTTGCAATTCTTGAGAGTACATGAAAACGTCATTTATACTGAGCCATTTTATTACTTTCCTCACCAAGAGCAAATGCACTAAGTCAGTGTATTAGTTCAATGTGAGCTTAAAAAGAAAAGAAATGAGAAACACGTGTGGAAACTAAACAAATTTTCATTGAAGATGAGTTAGTTGTTTAAGCTTACCGCACTCGCCGTCGTCAATGTATACGTCATCAATTGCTATGTCTGAGTAGCCTCTTCCACCAACGTTTGCAATAAACTCCAGCTGAAATATAAAAACGAAAAATATTCAGTTTTCTAAAACAAGTGAAGCAAATGGAATTTTTTTTTATAACAGAGAAAACCTTTAATACTGAAGATAGTATTTTCCAATACTGAAATGCATTGTTGGCCGTTCTATCGTGGGAGTGCTAGTGAAAACCGGCTCTGTACAGTTGAGAACTTGATTTGAGAGCAGCTGTTTATAACTGCTATATATTTAATAAAGCAGCGGTATACACTATTTRTTATATTCATCGTTTTCTGAAAAATCTGTATCAAATTCTCAATGAACATGTAGTTTGCACAAACCTTAAAGCCCCCTTGTATGTTCTTTAGGTTTGCTGTCCCCAAAATCCAATCTCGGCCTTGATCTCCCCTTCTGAAAAACAGGGTGTTCTTGGGTACGCCATTTTGAGTGACTTGTACTTTAAGAAAACCCATTGTTTTCCCAAACATCGTGTAGTAAAACTTCAAACACTGTCCGCCCTGTTTTGGTTTGAGTACTTYGCTAACCAATATGGCTTTTTCGTTTATTCGTCGTCCGGAAGACTCCATGTACAAGTAGTACCCTGAAGGAGAACATCAAGATGTATTTAATAATAGTTATTTCTCCAAACTGTTGGCCATTTTCATTTAAGAATTGATAATATAAATATGTCAGAAGTACATAAACAGAAGTGTCCATCTCGCTATTTATATAATTTTACCATCAGATATCCCGATAATCTATCTCTAGACAACCAAATCACAATGTGCGCACATATAATACGACACCTGATTGGTACTTATTGATACTACTTCAAGAGACAAATTTTTGTTGTCGTTGGCTGTTTTAAAATAGATTATTGGGACATCTGATGCTGACGAGATTATTAGCGAGATGGACACTTCGGGTTATGTACTTCTGAATATTTTATGCTACACAAGCTTGACGCTCTTAGCTTGAACAAAACGCACGAGTCAGAGCCAAAACTCAACTGATAAATATMAAGTATTATGGGTACCTTTGCCTGTTGTATGGTCTCTCATCGGTCCTGTGTTCATAGTTTTAGTAAAACCTTGATGTCTGACCCATTTTAATTGATTCCAACCAGGTTTGTTGCTCCACATTCCCATGGGATTTGATGGATCATCAAAATCTGTGTCGTCGGGACCTTAGTGAATACAAAAAGCATGTTTTAATATTAACTKTTGAACAAGAGAAATGGAACGCCTTATTCAGCTTATCAGTGAACATAAAGTGTCAGACTGGTTTGGTTGCACTTTGGAATGCCACARTTAAGACCAGATGGCAGTTCGAGATCCMTTTTAGGGAATTTTAGATCTTTGCACGTAKTAGGGTTACATGTTATGTGATTTTAACTGGACAATTTGACATAATAATTAAGAAATTATTTTAAAGAAATGCAGAGTAGTTTTAACTTTCAGCCTAATCCAGTAGCCTCCTTTCTCAGCCCTTATGAAGCTCGTTCCCAGGTCATTGATCTCGTAACGGCTGCGAGAKGAGACTGTATAATCCAACTGCTTACCTGGGTGGCATCTCCTTGCAGAGCAGACTTTTTCCTCTTTAGAGCTACCTGCACATGGTTTGCCATATTTAGATCGACGAGGGTTATTRCATTGCCGAGTACGCCTATGAACACCATCGTCACATTTAACACTACACGCAGACCAAGAAGACCAATGGCCCCAGTTGCCGTTCCTGGCATTTCGAGCTGTTAAGCGAAAGTCAATAATTAGAGGAAATGGTCCTTTTCGCGGTCAAAACCAAAGCGGGCAACATGTTTGCTGCAGCACCCAAATGAGCAAGAGTGCCAAGTAATGTCAAAATCATCATATGACTTTGTTCGCCGAAATTTCTTATTCCTGACAACGCAAAAAGTTAAACAAGCTCGAAATGGAAACTTTTTGGGTGGTTGCCCGATTCTTACATGATTTGGTGCAAAACCACAGACTCCTCACGCAACTTGTTTTCTAACCGCAAAAAATTGCTATTGGCATAGACTGAACATAAACTTTAATCAAGGCATAAGATTGTGAGGTTGTGCTTTGTCCCGCCCAGCTTCATTTACGATCAAYTAGCCAACTTTCAAAAATTTGGCCTGACTAGCCTTGAACAARCTAATCGAAGGCGAAGCTCTGGCAAAACAATATATCAACATTTTGTCCTCGGAGACTCGTTTTCAGAACTCTTATACAGGCCCATTTGAGCAGTATAATRTGGAAAGTCGGCTATTTAGAATATGAAGGACTTACCAAGACATTCCATCTTTGTGCATTTCCTTTCTTGATTCTCGATTCCATAGTAATTGACATTTCCTCCGCATGATTTGCGATTCCCAGAATTATAGCAAAATCGCTGTCGGGATTTGTAGCATTTATCGTCACATGGTGTGTATTCGGACCATGATGCCCAGCCCTTTCGTTTGACTACGATGAAATAAGACGAATTATTATATAGAAAGGATGTAAACACACGAATTTATTGGCTAAAAAGCGGGTCGTACTTTTCCGTATATACGGACCAGATGAAACGGAAAAAACTTTTTTTATCAATAAAAAACTCGCTTTCTCTCWTTTCGTCGTTGTACTGTATAATTTTTGATTTTCTTTTTCTTTATTAATTTCACCATTTTCCCCGAAAATGCTATACAAATTTCTTATTAACCTCGCTTGCTCGAGCCTTACGGGAAGTTGTAATGGGGAACCTCTTTTTTCCCGCTCTGGCCATATGTCAGCGGAAAAAAAACTCGGTCTTTCAAATTTTTTTTTAATTAGCTTTGCCCCTAGTATGGGCAGGGACACCGCAACAGCGTGAGCCAGTTACTGCGGACCCTGTACTCTCACACTCACTACCTCTACATTAAGTATTTTAGCACACAACACTCCTCACATGTTGATTTATTCCAAGGGAGGAAAACCGAAGGACCCGGAGAAAAAAAAACTCTCGTGGCAAGGGAGAGAACAACACATCAAACAAACTCAAAGTCACATATGGTCCGTGTCCGGGAATCGAACCCGGACCACAGCAGTGACAGGCCAGTAGCTTAACCACTAGGCCACCCATGCCACCCAATTCCCGTACGTTCCTCGCGCTCAGTTAATAAGATATTACTATTCAGGATACATTTTAGAGAAGTTTATTCATTATCGACTATCACAAGTTGGATAAATTAGACAACCCTCTAGATCTTGAGCAACCAATAAAGGTCATAATTTCAATTCTAGCGCCCTATCAGAAAATACCTCTGTACATATAGCTATTCTTCACAAAAAAGGGTTGCTGCACGTTGGAGAGAGAAGCAAACGCACCACTGAAAGTTTCTATTGGTAGTATTGATTATCGATCATCAATGCCTCAATAAGTATTGCTCATGCATCTCATTCTAGTTTGCTATAAAAAGTACACGGCACTTGTAAAATGTCTGAGTAGGCACAAAAAAATGTCGGCTACTGAAGCAAGCATAAAGCATATAATTATCAGAAAGGAGGGGAGGAAGGGGGGGGGGGAGCTAAGAAAAAAAGTGGAACTAGCAGAAAAGATGAGAAAAGGTAAAGGACTTCTCTCTCCCATGCTATCCCCATACCATAACTTGGAAATGACACTGCAGGACCCATTTCCTTCTAAGCTAATTTCTCGATTCGGAAAGTTTAGGATAGTTTAATGGCGTTCGGAACGATAGGGTTCGTGCAATTGATATGACTACATTGTGGATGCAAATACCAATTGCTTCTCAACATACCTTTGCAGTCATAAAGTGCATTTATCTCGATGGCATCGACTACGCTAAGCCTGTCGTTTCCAAACTTAAGTGCTTGGTTGTCAATAGCAACAATTGTAGGTTGGCCATTGTTGGTGAAGGCTTTGCGGCCATAGTGCATGATGGATTTATAGTCGTAGTTAACTCCCAAATCGTCAATGTCTTTCCATGAATATTTGTCAAATTGGTCGGTTCTGTCTATTCGTAAATCAAATAATATCAATAAAAATAGCAAGAGAAAATTGTCTGCTTATGGTACAATTTTATTTAGTAATACGTACAAGTGTCAGGTGCGGATTAACGGGGGTTAAAGTAAGGGGATATCGGAGAAAAGAGAGATGATTTGGGTGGCTCCTTTTGAAAAACAACTAAAACTGTGTTCATCTGAAGGAAATTTGATTTTCCTCAGCTCTAAGACAATCTGGTTAATTTTTTTTTATGGCTGACTCACCTTTCTTGCCAATGTAACGCGTCTGTTTTTTGAGGTCGATCCACCGAGCTTAAGAACTAACAACTTTATCTCTATCTTACACGTGAGTTCTATCCTAGGCAACAACAGTACCCCTACAGAAGTGGGGGATCGCACCAAATTGAATCACGGAATGGGTACTGCTGATTTTTAAGTTTTACTTGAAGTTTCTAAACATCAGAACGAAGAACATCCTTAAGTGCTCGATACATACCTGCTAATATATTTTGCCAGTTGATCTTCACGAATTTATCTCGGTCTGACCGTGCTTGCTCATGGAAAAATCCTGAAAAATTAATTATTATAGCTGTATAAAAAGACACTGACAATAGGGTTGACTCGTGCTACTAAATGTGTGTAACTATAATCGCCGAAATGGAGGTAATTCTTTGAGACTAAATTCCCCGGGGAATACCGGGGAATTTAACGTTTGATTGTGGCCCGCTATTTTGGTCTAGTAGTAAATAACAAAATAAACACCTTTCAATCAAATTTTCTGTGATACACAGGGTTAGTTTTTGCGCAATCCTGTGTACTCATTTGCGTACTACATGAGGGTAACTGGACGTAAAAACACATGTGTAATAAGTTTCTTAAAAAAAAACAGGGTTGAATACCAATGTTTTCAGAGTATTTCTCAAGGTAGACCTCGAGTTTCCAGCCTCATACATGTTCAAACGCGCGTTAAAATCCCYGCTCTTTGACCCGTTTCAAAAACAATTCATTAAAATCCCGTCCCTCGGGGCAATGTTGCTGTTAAAAGCACGTTAAAAACGCGACACGTCCCCGTTCAGTGCCCCGCTAGCCCCGGGGGTCGGGGGGCGTGGGTTTCAACTGATTAGTGTATTAATGTCACAAAGGCCGGTGTATCGAGACAAATAGTGCATTTTCCTTGGCGAGTTATAAACCAATACTTCGTAGCTGTGTGATGTCGCAAACGTGGCTGTCTGATTCTGAGTTGCAGAGCCTAAATTATCCAATTTGTTAAGGGATTCTGTCTCTTCTGGATTAAAGAAAACCATATAACTATTTACGCAGGAGTATTCCTAAATGAGGAGTGAAGCGGTTATGCTTCTATAGAGATGGGTAATCACTTGTTGTTGACATCGCTGGTACGGCGCCAACTATCACTGACACAAACTGTTTTAATTTTGATACCTTGGTATACTTGACCTTTAAATTACTACAATTAGTAAACGGATTGATTTTCAAATAAAAATATTAAAGCTACATTAACTGTACTAATGATAAAATTATATACAGTTGTTTGTGCAAATAGTATGTGTAATGATGACGTCACTCCGTATTCGACTCGGATAGCAATCGGAAAATCATTCTGACTTAGAAGAAAAAATAAAATTACACGCAAATCAAATAGATGGCTGTTGATTGGTCTATTCATTTTTTAACTGGTGGCCCCGGCCTATACGTCCTGGACATGATTAACGAGTTGATCTCAGCCGATGTGTTAAAATTCTTCGGTCTAAGCAATTGGAAAGACCACAACTTTGATACTTCATACTTACCAAGGGCATGGAGAATTTCATGGATTATTGTTCCCGGGTGGTTACAGCCTCTTCCCAGGGAAATGGTCTGTTTACCCGGTTTGTGATACTTTTTTCCAATCATTGATGAACATCTGTTAAACATGATATTTCCAATCAAATGAATTCAATGAATCATCAAAGAAATTTGATATTAGACAAAATGTCAACAAACATTTTAAGATTCCCATATCTTCTATACCGCGTAAGTAATTTGCTTTATAATATGAAAGCAATTGACCACTGAACCTTTTACGTCCTTAAATGTATTGTGGGTTCAGTTCATAGAGAGAACAAAAGAAATCTGCCATGTTCTGTCTCAAACATATCCTACAATTCATTGCGACGGTACATGACGTAAAACTTCAAAGGACTATTATATTTAGGTTAAATTACCAGACATTTATTCGGGTAACTCTTTTTCCTTACCCATCATCGTTGCCAAACGTTATGTAGTTCCTGTGTACGCCACTTTGATAAGGAACAAAACGAATACATGTTTTGGAATGAAACTCTTGGATAGCAATCATGAAATTTTTCCTGATGTGCCCTGGTGATGTGACGAATATAAGACATCGCTATAATTTATATAATTTGATTATGATTTTATAAATCAATGGCCTATGAACGATATAATAGGGGTTTTGTAGTAAGCATATTTGATAAAAAGAAGCAACAGATTTACTATGAATCATAATGAGGGGCTGGGAAGGGGGGTGGGGTGGGGTTTGGGGTGGGGCTAGGTTAAATTTGTGGTTGGAGCAGGATTTTGCATGCACCACAAAAGGGGTGGGCTATGCAATTTCTGTGTACCATATGAAACTTATTGCCATACATCGGGACATCGGGTGACATTTGCTTAGATTTCATTAGATTAGATCTTTTGATATGTTTATTTTACGGTTAAATTATATTAATAATTATTAATAATAATATTAATGATAATGATTATAATATCAATAATTGTATAAAGTCAATAATTTCACGAATTATAATTACTTACACATAAAACCAGGAATGTAGTAAGGAATCACCCTCGAGGTCCAAAGCACTTTCTTTCTTCTAACTGCATTCCTTTTCGTTCTTGTCCTAACAGGCATATGGAGTTCTCTTTCTAATTCTTCATCCATTTGAATATCTCCCTGGTACAGATAATCTTTAAATGCTGAATGAATAGAATCCCATGAATCAATACTTTTTAGTTTTTTTTTCTGTACAATTATTGCAAAACATCATTTTAAAACTTCAAGAGTTATGCAAATTGAATTGAATAAGACAACTCAAGACTACAAAAAACTTGATTGTTCTCAAATTTGTCCTAGTATATTATGACCCCACATCTCACATCGTAATTAAAGCTAAGGTCTATATCCGCCATAGGGGATCAGAGACGAATGACTACATATCAAATAAAATGTACATGAGCAATTATTTATAAATGACATATAGTCAAAATACGATTCATTGAAATTGTTTTTTTTTAGGAGACACAATAAGTCAGGGTACAAATTTCCACTGTTGTTAGGTGTAAATATACTGTGACCTCATAATGAAATAGGTAGCCTCCTCGAAGCCGTTCTTAGTGTCGGGCTCCCTGTCCGGGACGGGGGACAGGGAGCCCGTYACTAAGAACGGCTGCGAGGAGACTATGAAATAGGACGATTGAAATTGAATGTATTATGTTAAGCAGTCCCTGTACCCTCAATAAACGTGCTGTACGACAAAGTGAAACCTAGATATACGCTGATATACCTTCATTATCTTTTTCAATATTGTCAAATAAATTTGTATCGTTATTCTGTTGTTTCAGTGTTCTTTTCCGGTTCCAATGAGCCATGTTGACTGCCAGGATTCGATCATGAACCGTCTCATACTCTAAATGGAAAAAAGGAAAAAGGAAAAAAAGTACTTTTACATTTTGCAAAGAAGGCAGAAGGACGACATTAAACAATGACATTCGTCATATTCAAGTTGTACTATCAAAAAAGGTAAAATATGTCAACAGATTTAAAATCCGATGTATTTGGCGGAGCATCCCGTATAACAAATACAGTGGAGACTCCACCCCCCCCCCCCCCCCCCCCCCCCTCTTCCCCCATCTTGTCCATTAAACCAAATTGAGTATAGTTTCTTATCTGCCTTTGACACTTGTTTTTATAGATTTCCGTCATATTTCCTGGGGGTAACATGTTTCTACTTACTACACGAGTTTACGCTGCAATGCACGRCTTAACATGWTGTTGGCAGTATAAGGGCGGGGCCGCACCAATAYTAAATCAACAGGTGCGCTCCTATTTTTTCCCCTTTTTTTCCTCTTTACGTTTGTTTGGCATATTGTTTTTTTTTTTCCCCATACTTATGCGATCAATATTAAATAAAACAGTGATTACAGTGTATCAGATTTGAAAGGAAATAGACATTTAATGATTTTGAGACGCCAAAATGACAATGACTTTGAAAAGAGGAATTATATTTCGTTTCATCTGAAAATACAAAAGAACAGATTCTCTTTAATTGCTTCATTATTTTTTTCTTAAAAAATGCACAATTTCTCTTGATTTGTAAGTGATGTAGAACTCAAAGAAAATAATATATTATTTCCCAATAGTTGTAATTTACATTTCTGTCAAGTATGGTAAGAATAATTGCAATACTAACCTCTATTAGCAATCTCATCAATTTGTGGATCTGCTTCTTCAAGTGTATCAACTAGAAAAACAGAATAGACAGTCTGATGATAAACTCAGTAGACTCCGTTACTAGTTTCATCAGGGTTATATGATTTAAAAGAGGGTCTCAATGGGGYGGTACGMATCACGACTCACGGCTAAAAATTTGGCTATTTCACGACACACGACTAATTTTTTCGAATCACGGTTAACTAGATTACTTTGAGAAAAAAAATTCTTGCAAGGCAAAATTTAAAAAAAATCTCCACTAGGGCTTTYATTTTGTAAATTTACAAAAAAATTATAATAGCGCGCCTGGAGTTGACTGTCCTTCTGAAGAATATAACTGAATCACGGCTCACGCTATAAAAAATATTCACGCCTCACGGCTAATTTTTTCTCCATTTCAGGACTCACGACTAATTTTTCAGCCGTTTCACGGCTCACGGTTAACCACATTGAGACCCTCTTAAAAAAATGTTTTCTTCGATATTTTTGTATATTTTTTCGAATCTATCCTTTAAAGAATATAATTAAAAATATCAAAATGGCAAAAATGGAAAAATATTGAAAAAAATTAAATAAATAGCAAAAAAAAAAGGAAAAGAAAAGAATGAAATTCAAAATGTGAGGCGTTAAAGTTAAATGCAAGATAAATGAATGAATCAGAGGACATCCATTAAACATTAGAACTTACATAGAGAAGCATTTCAGTATCAAAAGTGTCAGAAAAGTTTTAAATGTTTTGTATCTATGCTTGTTGTTTTGCACATGAGAGTTTTTTTTTGTTGATACTTGTTTTTTTTGTTTTACTACTTTTTTTTTTTGAAAGGTACTTCGTTCATGTTTTAGTTGATTACTCGTGACCAGGGCCTTGGCCGGGTCACGAGTCATAAAATGCAACGCGTATAGTTTTTTTTTTAAGTCAGAAGTTTGCCTTCGGGTCTCCCGATCGCCCTCCGATCTATCACGAAATATCACATTACGAACTCGGCTGTAAACAATCGTGTAATAGAACAGTTAACTTCCCGGGAGTTGTAGCTTTTATAGTAATTCTTTGATATTCGAGGCCTTTTGTTATTCCAAGACATTCATCTGTGTCGAAGCATATATTATGACATTGGTTTAGGTCATCAAGGTTGGTGTATCGAGCCAAATAGTGCATTTTCCTTAGCGAGATGTAAACCGATCGTAGGCTGAGTGAAGCCGCAACGTGGCTGTTTGATTCTGAGTTGCATAGCCTAAATTTTCAATTTGATGAGGAATGATTAAAGAAAACAATGCTATTCACGCGGGAGTATTCCTAGATGAATATTGAATTTTATAGAGCGGATTAGCCTCCTCCGCAGGCATCACTAAGAATCACGGGCTTCCTGTAGAATCACGGGCTTCCTGTCTTTTTGAGGAGTCAAAAGAGGGAGAATGAGGGCGAGAAAAGGGGAGCGAGTTCAAAGGAGTGAAATTCGAACTTCGCTTTGCCGTTGACCTCGGGAGCACGCTTTTGATTTAACGGTCGCCACGTTCTATATAACCAAACAGCAACCACATAATAGAAAGAACAAAGAAAGAGTAGAACTCAGAGATGGAATTTTTTAATAATACATTATCTTACAAAAGAGGTTCAGTATAAACATAAGTAATAAAAAGTTGACTTCAAAGCATCCTAACGTAAACAAAATTTCAAAGTCTGTTATATAATACGCTCGATCGTGTCTTCGCTCCGACTTGCTTCGATACAAAAACAAAGGCCGCTTTTTTGTGTATCAAGATGCTGAGCAGCGCATCAGCCGTAATTCTTCAGTCA